TTGCTGTTCAACACTATTTTCGATTTTCTTCTCTGAAACTGCGGCACTGTCAAAGACAGACGTCTCATTCTTTAGGGGAGGCGCAGTTTAATGTGTCCCTCTAGATATTTAGCTGACTCGGAGTACGCAGATGATATGGCCTTGGTGAGCAGGGGACTGAGCTCTCTCATCTGACGCTTCCGATGCAACACAGCTACGAAAGGCGGTATTTTTCTTAATGCTCGGAAGTCCAAAGTTGTGAGGAACCCATTCGGCACGACTGATTTACAAGTGGAACAAAGAGGTGAGCGGCTTCAGGTGATTGACCACTGTAAATACTTCGGCTTCATCCTCACCAACGAAGGAACCATCCGGTCAGAGCTAAGTAGGAGAATTGCCACAGCCTCGAGTGCTTTTGCAATTATTGTAATATTTAGACTGAGAAGAGGGGTGTCTCCTTCGATAAAATCTGCCTGTACCTTGCCTCTGTCAGGTCACTGTTGTTGTACGGCATGAAGACAGTTGTTCTAGTGAAGAAGCAAGAACTTTGAACTGTGTAAGGCTTCGACACATAATAAGGGTTAAATAGCGGGAACCACGTAAGGAGTGTCTGTTCCCTTCCTGAGGTTGGTAACCTCAGTGGGTATAGAGATTAAGAAACTGAGGCTGGTCCAGTTAGACAATCTGTTTGAGCATAAATCATTTACTCCAACAGGTCTTCGTGTGGGAGCTGAAACACGGCTTGCATCGATCATAACGCCATCGTGCAACATGGAGAAACAAGGTAGAAACAGATCTGCTTTTAGAGCGGAATGTTTCCTTTTTTGATGCAGTAATCGATGCTTTGTAAAATGCTGCGAATACATCGGACATCACACATCAAAAACGTCCTGCTTATGCAGACTGCTCTAGGGGATGATGGTCAGCAAACATGCATCTCCTGAGGATTACATAACAGTTAACCAGAGTTTTAAACGACGTTTATTTTACGTGCTACGTGCTGTCGATATATACTATCAATTGCATTTATCATTTTGATCAATTACAACTGTGACTGCAGTTGCGCTTGTCATTTAAAGAAAATTGGCATGAGTTTAGTTGATATATGCGTAGTGTAGCATCTGTGAAATAAACGTCGTTCAATGTAAAAAAACCTATGCCTACAGTATATACAGCAAAACATGTGAATTATTACAGAAATTAGAAACAATTTTATTTTGCGTCGTGTTGACAATCGTTTCAGTCATTTCGTAGAAATCTACGGCCATGCTTACAAAAATGCATTTTTCAGTTCTGGCTTCGGCATTGCGTAAAGCGGAACCGATTACATTGATTTACTTATTTATTTACTTTTATTTAAATCTCTTTCGCAAAACGTAATTAGAAAATGGCCAGATTGCAGAAACTAAGGCAGTTGTTTCTAGAATTTTGTGCACAGGACTAAATTCTAACTATGAATATGAAAATAGTCCTACTGGAGTACTGTTTTCCGATTTGTGAAGAAAACTTTCGTGTTGTGCCTGATTTCATTTTGTTTTTTCCACGGCTAACCACTTCTGCTATTTCGATGTGTCACATTTCGTCGTCTGTTTAGCATGAAGACCGGTCGAAAGAGTTTTCACGTGGTTTTAGAGGACGCAGCAGCCGTGGTCCAAGGCGTTCCAGGGCTTTCGACAGACCGTCACAGCAGAGCAGTAAGCAACTATATTGACATGCTTTCTGTAGTTTTTTCGTGCTTCGCTAATGTCTGTTGAACTGTAGGGCAGAAAATATTCGAAGAACCGTGGAAGCATGACCTGTACGAAGCAGATATGTCCTCATCGTCGTCGCAGCACGAAGTCGCGGCGGAGCTCGTCGCCGCCGTTCCAAATGGTTGACGGGGCGATCGTCAAACACTCCGCAGATGGCTTTTCAGCGTGTGGCAACGTCTGTCGAAAATTGTGTACATAATTAATTTCAGTTGGAACCCTGATCGCAGACTGCCGGTCGATGGTTCAGCATTACGGATGTTGTGAACTGGATTGCAGTTTTTGTAATGACCATTTATCTATCTTGGAACGGCGCTGATTTTGTTTGGTTTCGTTTGCAACTCTTCTACGTGCGACATCAGGAGTGTGCGTAAATGTGTTGTTGTAGTTGCTTTTTGATGAATGAGGCGCTTGAAATTTTCCGTTTTTCGATGGACCCATTATTATTGACTTTGTGCTCACACCTTAACTATTCATAATTTCGTTGCAGTTGCACTGGCAGAATTTGATTACTCTTTAAGTTCCACTGTGAACCAACAATCAGTATTTTTGCCTTCAGTCCTTATTTTCTTCATGGTCATTGTCGTTTTACGCTTGACGTTGGCTTCTGTAATGGTATGAAAGACTCCCTTTTGCTCTTGACTGGCCTCATTTATCCGGCTGGTTAAGAGTAAGGGAAATGAAATCCACAGATAGATATGAGAGCCTTATGAAATATTCTTTACACAGTAAATGCACGTTCTTTGTCATTCGAATATTAAAACTGAAACATTGTTAATATGAACAAGGTAGTTCTTTAGCCAATAAAATTATGCAGATAATGAATTAACGTTGAACTGAGGTTTGCTGACATTGTTTCCTATGCATCTTTAAGCAACTCTGTGATGCTAAAATGGCATGAAACCGTACTTGGTAGAATAATATACATTTTACTACACCGTTGCTGCTCGAAGTAGTGTTTCTGATGATTCACGAAAACAGAGTACACTCACAAAAGAGGTGTTACTGGGCCAACAGACTGGTGTGAAATGTACGTAACGTCGCAGGCACTGGGAAACCGCAGATTCTTCGACCGCGTGTAGCCATGAATATTTTTAAGCAGAATTATTAAACGCAGTAAAACTTATGCTCGTGTATATTCGCTGAGAATGGACTAATATTTTTGATAGTTTACGAAAGTATTCAATGAGTATCAGTAATTAACAGTATGCAAAGAGCATTAAGTTGCTCTAACCGATATCGTGATGTCGGTTGCAGCGACATAGTGAAGGTGCTAAAATACTTGCAATAGGAGTCGTGAACTGTCAAAATGGCTTCCTAAGCAACTGATGACAAGTTGGTAGTGAAAAATGTGTAAAATCCTCATTAGCATTCGTCACTTTCGATTATCACATCCTTTCGCGTTGCGGAGGCAGACATGCCAGACAGTGTCTCAGATGCTGCCGGTCCTGTGTCAGCGTTTGAACTTTGGCAGATGAGCCGATTGTGAAGCAGAGATACTTGCCTTAGGTCATTGTTTTCCGTACCTTGAGTCTGTCGATTGAACAAAAGATACCCGTTTCGTCTGCCTTTCTGGAAGCAAAGCATGCGTAAGACGTGCTGAAACTTGCAGCTGCGACTTATCAGTCTGGAGAGGCAGCGGCAGGACACGAAGCCTCTTCGATTCGTTTACTCTGGATTATGTCGAGATGTGTGAACCCAACAGTTCGTCTCAGGAAGTCCGTTTCAGCCGTTTTTCCAGGGATGGAAGTTTTTCGGCATGGCCCACACACTACTGTAGGTAAGCATCGGGATGAAGATCGACTTCAACACCGAGAGCTTAGTCTTCAGCCTCAGCTCTGCTTTAGACACAATGGTTTGGGCTAGTTCACATAGAATGCCACTGGCTACTCCAATTCGCCTGTCGATCTCTTCCTCAAATTTTCCATCACTAGTAAATATAGTTCCGAGGTACTTGAACTTCTCTGCCTGCTCCACTGCCTCTTCGTTAATCTGAAGAGAGCAACGGGCAGGAAAACGAGGAAACACTAGGCTTTTCGTTTTAGATGCGTTCGTATGCACGTCGACTGCGACATTTACCAGAGGGCGCTGTAGATCAGTTTCAGAATACACCAACAAAA